CCTTAACAACCTGCTCGTGCAAATCCCCCTGAATCTCAAAGATGATCTTGCTCACCGCCACCCTCGCAGTCCAGCGGTCGAAACTGCCTTTGCCCTTGCCCATGCGCACGTCGTTGCCCGAGGTGTACACGCCGATGTTTGCCGCGATGCGCATGTAGAGCCGGAATTTCATGCCGCGGAGACGCTTGCGGATGGTTTCTTCGGCGATGCGGAGTTGTTGGGCGGAGATGCGCCGGTCGTGGTCGCGCATGCGCAGGCCGTAGTCGCCCCAGACGACGGTTGTGCCGCGCATGCTGCCGCCGGTGGGGACGCGGCAGCGCCCTTTGCGTGATTTGCGTGATTCGCCGGCTTTGGGGGCGAGGTAGTTGAGAGCGGGACGGGTGGTGGAGAAGAGGCGGGTGGTATTAAGGGCGGAGGGTTGGGGTTTGGAGAGGCATGTCTGCTGGAGTACTGGGTGTTCGTTAGTAGGGCTGTCGGAGGTGGGAATTGGGAGTCGTACGTGTGGATCTTGAAGCAGAGATGTTTAGTCGGCCAAATTGAGCCAGCAGGCCCTGTGATATCCTTGGTGGCGGCATGGCGTTGTGATGTTGGACCTGCACCAGGCCAATCGCTCCGTAACTTTGGTGTCGAAGTTCTGATGCCAAGACACATCTGTGGCTGCTGTGGCGCACGCGGGGGTGTGGCGTCAATGCGCCTGCCTAATTGCCTAATGACCGCGCGAAGTCGCGTCGTGCACGTCAATGGCGCCTATTGTCCATCAACCCACCCAAACCCCGTTTCCCCCCATTGTTTGGCTCAACACTTGTCAGCGAACGCGTCACACTGTTGCAATCTGATTACACGCGTTTTTCATCGTCAAGATGCCTGCCGACATTCGCAGCTTCTTTGGCGGCGGGCCCCCGAAGGCAAGCCAGGGATCGCAGAAGAAAGATGAGCCTGCAACGAAGAAGGCCGCGCCTAAGAAGAAGGGTCGCACAAGTCGTGTTGTAGAGGACTCTGACGACGATGAGCAGGAAGAGGCGAAGTAAGTATACAATTTCTGCTTGGTGACGTCAAACCTGACATTCTCCAGGCCGAAGAAAGCGACACCAAAGAAGCCCGCCGCAAAGAAGGTTAAGCGCGAACCGACACCAGAACCTGTACTCGAAGAGACCACCACATCCGACTTCTTTGCCAGCTCGAATAAGCCCAAGCGAACCGAACCTGTGAAGAAGAAGGCTGCGGAAACGCCTGCTGCGACACCGAAGAAGGCACCCGCGAAGGCGAACGGGAAGGCATCGAAGACGGCTACTTCGGCTACCAATGCTAAGGCGTCTGGTCGAGCGAAGAAACCCGTTACATCCTATGCCGAGCGGGATGACGAGGATGAGTTCCCGGACGACGACCTGGAGGACGCAGACGATATCTTCGAGGCCAATGTCAAGGGCAAGGGCAAAGACGACTACAAGGAAGCTTCGGAGAGCGATGACGATGTACCTGTGAAGCTGCCACATCGCGGAACACCAAAAGCCCCAGCCAAGCAGCAGAAGAAGATCAAGGAAGAAGACGACTTTGACCCAGAAGATGAAGACATTGACATGAAGGACATCGATGCGGAAGACGACTTTGTGGAGCCCGACGAGGATGAACAAGCACTGAAGAGCAAGCCAAAGAAGACATCGACTGCAGGCAAGAAGCGAAAGTCACCCATATCTGACGACGAAGAGGAAGAGGAGGAAAAGCCAAAGAAAGGACGACCGAAGAAGGCCACAACGACGACACCCAAATCACCAGCGAAAAAGAAGGTCAAGAAGGAAGAGGTCGAAGACAGCGCAGACATCCAGGCCATCTACGACAGTATTCCTACAGTGCGCGCGCCCACGCCACCGCCCAAAGACGATAATGCCAAGTTCAACTGGCAAGCGAATGCAGGTCGTGGGGAAGCTGCACCACTCGGAGGCGGATCCAGCGAGATGCCTTCAGGCTCAGAGACATGTCTTGCGGGTCTCACATTCGTCTTCACTGGTGTGCTGCAGAAGTGGGGTCGCACAGAAGCCCAAGAGCTGGTCAAACGGCACGGCGGGAAGGTCACTGGCGCTCCAAGCAAGAAGACCAACTATGTTGTGCTAGGCACAGATGCCGGCCCGAGCAAACTGCGGAAGATTCAAGAGATGGAAATCAAGACGATCGACGAAGATGGCCTGACGGTGCTCATCGAGAAGCTGACTGCGGCTGGCAACAAGGGCGACAGCAAGGCACAGGCCGAGCACGCTGAGAAGCAACGCAAGGAGGAGGAAAAGATCAAGAAGCAAGCTGCAGAGCTTGAGCAAGAGGAGAAGAAGCGTCAGAAAGAGCTGTCGGCAGCAGCGAAAGCTTCCGGTAGCAAGACAGCCTCTGCCGTCACAGCAGCTGCTCAGAGTGCAGGCCCGGCCGTAGACTCCCGTTTGTGGACTACCAAGTATGCGCCCACATCACTCAACCAGATTTGCGGCAACAAGGCGACGGTTGAGAGGATCCAGCGCTGGTTGCAGATGTTCCCAAAGAACCTCAAGACTGGCTTCAAATTGGCTGGCAAAGACGGCAGCGGAAACTTCCGTGCCATCATGCTGCATGGCCCACCCGGTATTGGTAAGACTACCGCAGCGCATCTCGTCGCCAAGCTGGAGGGCTACGATATCGTCGAGAGAAACGCCAGTGATACCCGAAGTAAGAAGCTCATCGAGGACGGCCTACGTGGTGTCCTCAGCACCAACTCACTCCACGGCTACTTTGCTGGCGATGGAAAGAAGGTTGAGGCAGCTAAGAAGAAGCTCGTTCTGATCATGGACGAAGTCGACGGTATGTCTGCGGGTGACCGTGGTGGTGTCGGTGCGCTCGCAGCCGTGTGCAAGAAGACGGAGGTTCCCATGATCCTCATCTGCAACGACAGGAAGCTGCCAAAGATGAAACCCTTCGACTATGTCACATTCGATCTGCCTTTCCGACGGCCCACTGTCGACCAAGTACGATCACGCATCATGACCATCGCATACCGAGAAGGCTTGAAGATGCCTGCGCCAGTTGTCAATGCACTCATTGAGGGCAGCCACGCCGATATCCGCCAGGTCGTCAACATGATTTCCACAGCCAAACTCGACCAAACAGCCATGGATTTCGACAAGGGCAAGACGATGTCCAAGAGCTGGGAGAAGCATGTCATTTTGAAGCCATGGGACATCACGCAGAAGATTCTCGGTGGCGGCATGTTTGCCTCGAGCAGCAAAGCCACACTCAACGAGAAGATTGAGCTCTACTTCAACGACCACGAGTTCAGTCCGTTGATGCTGCAGGAGAACTACCTCGGCACGAACCCGATGCAGTCCTTGAACTACTCCGGCAAAGAGAAGAACCTGAAGAATCTGGAGTTGGCGTCGTTAGCAGCCGATAGTATCAGTGATGGTGATCTTGTTGATCGCATGATTCACGGTTCCCAACAGCAGTGGAGTTTGATGCCTACGCACGCAGTCTTCAGTTTCGTCAGGCCTGCAAGCTATGTTGCTGGTAGCACTGCTGGAAACCAGACGCGCTTCACGTCATGGCTGGGGAAGAACAGTTCTACGAACAAGCTGAGCCGAATGATCAAGGAAATCCAAGCTCACATGAGGCTGCGATCGTCCGGTGACCGACACGAGGTTCGACAGCAGTACGTCCCACTTCTCTGGACGGACCTAGTTCAGAAGCTGCAGAAAGAAGGCAAAGACGCTGTTCCGCAAGTCATCGAGCTGATGGACAGCTACTACCTTACCAAAGACGACTTCGACGCCATCATGGAACTCGGCGTCGGACCTATGGACCAAGAGAAGGTCAAGATCGACTCACAAACCAAATCCACATTTACACGCCTGTAAGCCTCCCCTCATCTTACTATCACCCCCTTACACCACTAACGCCCCTTTTCCACAGCTACAACCAACAATCCCACCCCCTCCCCTTCATGAAAGCCTCCTCCATCGCCCAACCCAAGAAACAAGCCAAAGAGAAGCCCGATCTTGAAGAAGCGATCGATGAATCTGATGATGGAGAGGTTGAGGTGGAGGTCAAGGATGAAGAGGAGGATGTGGATTTGTCAAAGGATAAATACGTTAAGCAGCCGAAGAAGAAGGCCGCGCCGAAGAAGGGGGGTAAGAAGAAGAAGGATGAAGAGGATGATGAGGATGAGGAGGAAGTTAAGCCTAAGGGTAAGGGTAAGGCGAAGGCTGCGCCTAAGGGGAAGAAGAAGTGAGGAATTGGTTGTTGATGAGCGGGCATGGCTCTTGGGTGGGAAGACTGTGAAGGTGGATTTGTTGTTCAACATGTATGATAAATTCGGGTTCGTTCTAGAGCTGGACAGGTTTGTCGGTAGGACGGAGTGCAAAGTACTTTATGGCGTACCTATAAAGCGAGTCTAGTTAGTTCGCATATTTTGAGGTAACATGGTCACAATGGAAGTAATATGTATGTATGCTGTTGGTCATGAAGTGCTGCTCACACTGTACGGCCAGTGGCGTGAAGGGCAATTGGGTGAAGGTGGAGTGATGTGACGCTTGCTCGGCTGGGTAAAGTACCGCGCCCCGCCATTCTGCCCTGCATGCATTTGCGTGCGGTCGACGTCAACGATGCATTTGGCGCCAGTGCCAGCGCAAAGCCCATTCAAGCTTTGTCGCATTGTCTTTGCCCTTGACCCTCTTAATCGCGGCCACTGCCGGTTTTACTTTCTTTTCGCAAACCCACTCTCTACCCGCTTCCACGACCATCTGATCTTTTCGAGATTGTACAAGATACCCCGCAGCACAACGCGGGATATTTGTCTGACGTCTGCGCGAGGGAGATCAACCTGTTAATCGCGTGCGTCACTAGTCTTGGTACACAGGCTTGGAAGTTGGTCGCACGCCAGCCCAGGCACATCCAACCTTGGGATCTGACAGTCAGCCTGGTCCCCGCTTGCAGTTCCCCACTGTTCTGCCCATCACACCTGCGATCAGCGCTGCACTCACGCCTCAGCCATGGAGAACAACCTGAGCGCCGCCCGAGCCTCCCGGCGCTACCTCGACGAGCGCCTGCGCAACGACTGGGAGTATCCCGACGTGCCTGCCATCTGGTCAGCCTCGGACGAAGAGGTGCGCGACGCTGCCGACTTTCGCGAGCGCTATTACGGCGAGTCGGAATCTGGAGACTCGGATCAAGAAGACGAAGGTGTCGGCCCGTACAGGTTCGACAACCCAGAGAGCATCGGCGATGCGGTAGCGAGCACAAGAGAAGCGCGCAGAAGGCGCCGTCGAGAGAGGCTGGAGCGCGAGATGAAAGACAACGAAGGGCTGAGGATCTGGGTCGAGCGGCGAGACGTGTGGACGGGCGCAGCGAGCGTGAAGAAGTACGGCACGAACCGCCAAAGACAGGCCAACCGCCCGTCTTCTGCAGCAGGCTACTCGTCCGAAGAGCACGCCGTCACACCCACCGGCTCTGAATCGCACTCCATCACCAGCGCCACGCCCGACACCTTCGACCTCGTCCCCGTCGCGCCGCGTCTCCTCGAGGACAACCCGATCCGTGCCTCCATCACCCCCAAAGCATACCGCGACATCTTCCAGAAGATCGTAGTCTCGTCGCGCACGCCCTCAGTCCCCATCAACCTCGCAGACATGACCAAGGCGCTGGTACAAGGCTGGAAAGACTCGGATGAGTGGCCTCCAAGGGTAGCTGCGGTTGACCCTCTTGCCGGTAAGAAGCGCACTATTACCGGTACTCCATCCAACGGCCATCACGGAGGTTTCATAGCCCGGCACCCTCACCTGGAGAAGAGTGTCGACGGCATGAAGCGGATCCTGCATCTCAACGGGCACCACGAACATGGGCACGAACAGGACAAGGAGCATGAGCAGGCTGGGAAGGAGGGCTGAAGCATAGTCTTGGATGAGTCAGTGCTTGTCCTTCACAACGCTGATGCATAGACCATGCAGGAAATACCCTCTTCCACGTTTACCGCGGTACCAACGACGCTCTGCCTACGCCAGAGGACCGCACGAACCTGCTGCGTGCTTCACTATCCTGGCGCGCCCCTCCGATCGATGCGAACAAGGGCAATCTCTGGTCGACGGGGTAGGGGGTGTATGCACGCGGGCAGTCTCTTACAAGACACGAGCATGTCAGGCGTCTAGATTGAAGCATGCCGACCTCGGCATCAGCAGTAACAGCTGCGCATTACGCACGTAAACACTGCGCCGGTGGAGTTGAGTTACAACAGGCGGAGATCACTGCTGAGAAGGGTGCTCGCATATATCTCGGCGATTGATTTTGATCAGATTGATTGATAAGATAATTTTACATGATACCCCCACATAATCCCAGCTTCTTACTATACAATATCCACCGAGATCGCCTGACTTTGCCTGATGTACGAAAGTAGCGGTCGTACATACTAGAAGTGCGTATGCTTGCACGGATCTGCATGCGTATATCTCGGCCGATAGTGTAACGTCGGTCTGTCGGCCGCTGGCGCGAGGCGACTGCAGTCACCTTACGCCTTGTGCGGGGCTGGTATGCGACGCTTAGTGGACAGTAGCCTTGCGTAGCCTTACGTAGCCTTGACTGCTGCCACAGCCTAAAGCCATATCGCCTTGCAGCGCTTTATCAGCTCCGCTCTTTCGGACTCCTCGGTCGCCGTAGACCGCAAGTGGACACCATGGAGGTGAGACCGTTGGGGGGAGGGGCGGGCAGTCGGTAGCCGCTGTACTGCAGCGTGATGATCCTCATACAAGGTAGGTGTACAAGTGACGGGGTGTATTCGTCCGCAAGCGCATAAGTTGTTTGCGATAGCCAGCTCTTTTCTGCCGTCGGTAATTCTTGCGTCTTGCTCTTTTCCCTCTCTCTGCTTGATAGATCGATCATTTTATCAAGACTCTTCTTCTTCTTCTTCTTCTTCTTCCATACCAACCTACCTACCACATCCAAGCAGGCAAGTAAGCAAGCAAGCGACCATGCCAGGCACACTCCAAACCCCCCAACCCAATGCCTTCCCCCCCGGTCGCCGCGGAGTCTACCTCCTCACGCACCCCCGCTCAGCATCCAATCTCTTCCAAACCATGATGTCCAAGCAGCCCGGCTACCAGAACTCTGGCTACAAGCTCTTCGATGGTGGCTTTGCGACGCTGATGAATCTGGAGAAAGGGCCGCTGAGCGAATGGCCTGAGGAGGAGAGAAACGGGTTGTATGAGACGTTTAAAACGGCGTTTGGCAGCTTGGAGGACGAATTGGACGATTGCGCGAAGAATGTAAGTAGGGAAGGAAGAGATGAAGTCGAGATGTGGGGTTGGGGAGTTATAAGGGCAAGGCTGCGCCACAACCGCACATGCGCCCGTCGTGATCCGCCCACAAGATGACGTGCTCGGGCTGGCCCGTCCCACTCCTCGCTATCACAATCCCCATCTGCAACACCAACTAACAAACATCCAACAGAACAAACAAGCCTTCGTAAAAGAACACACAATCTTCCTCTCCGGCCCCGACCGCCTCTTCTCAACCGTCTACCCCAACGACACCCCCCCAGCCCTAACCATCCACCCACGCAACAATGCCTCCCCCTCCTCCCCATCCCTACCACACACAAACCCTACCTCCGTCCCCGACTCCCTCCTCCTCACCCTCCAACCCATCTTCCAAATCCGGCATCCGATTTTGATGTTCCCCTCCATGCTGCGCGCCCAAAAGGATTCGTTTCCGGATACCAAGCCACGGACGTTGTATACGTGTACCACGTATACTCTCAAGTATACAAGGGCGTTGTATGAATGGTATGCAGAGCGGGAGGCTACGTCCGGGATTGTGCCAAGGGTTATTGATGCGGATGATATCATGAACAACCCGCTTGCCGTCCGCCAGTTGTGCCTCCAATGTGGCCTCGACCCCGAGGCCGTGCAGTACGAGTGGGAGGAGAAGAAGATTGAGGATAATCCGCTTATGGCGAGGTTTTTGAGTACGATTAATGCGAGTAAGGTACGTCGTGGCTGTACGGAATGCTTGTGAGATGTGTACTGACTGAGTGGCTCTGCAGGGAATTAAGAAGGGGTATGAAGCGAAAGGTTTAACGATGGAGGTGGAGAGGAAGAAGTGGGTGGAGGAGTGGAATGAGGAGTTTGCGAAGGATTTGGAGGATTTTGTGAGCAAGGCGATGGATGATTATGAGTTTCTTTGGGAGAGGAGGGTTACTGGAGAGAGTCTAGAGACGAAGTAGGTCGACAGCAACATTGTGGGCGTTTTGATACATTGGTATAATAGTCGGTAGTAATACCATGTTTCTTCGAGTATGTCTAGCAAGCGCTGGTGTGTAAATCACAGAAGCTTGTACATGGTTGTAACATGAAGAACATTATAGAAGCTGAACACCAGAGAACTCAGCGCAAACTTCCAGCAGCTTGTCCTAAGCCTTCTTATCCCCCGTCGCCTTATGCGGCGTGTCCTAGGTGGGTAGAGGAGGCGGCGGGGAGGAGGAGGGGCAGAGGAGGGGAGGATGGTGGATTTCGTGGTAGTCATAGTATTTGTCTCGCAAGCACTAGTGTGTAAATCAAAGAAGCTTGTTTATTGCTAGAATGTAATAAGTATTATGGAAGCTGAACACTAGAGAACTCAGCGCAGATCTCCAGCAGCTTGTCCTGAGCCTTCTCATCCTCTGTTGCCTTATGGGGTGTGCCTTGTCGCTTGCCCGGGTGGAAATAGCACCCGCTTATTTTGGCCTTCTCTTCCTCCCCCTCAGCAAGCATAACGTAACTTTCGACCGCCGCATCAACGCTGCCTGGCGCCGAACTGCCACCCATCTTGGTAGCCACCCAGCCAGGATCCAATGCATTGCTCTTCACGTCAGGCCATCTCCGAGCGAAAGCCTTGGCAAGCAAGACATTGTGCAGCTTGCTCGCGCAGTAAGCCGCATTCGCGCTGTATCCGCTTTCGCCACGCTTCTGCCAGAGAACATCGTCTAAACTAGGTGAACCCGATTGATGCATCTCCGAAGAGAGGAATATCAGGCGCTTGGGACGCGTGATTAGTGCGGTGAGTACATATGGCGCTACGGTGTTGACGGCTGCTAAGGCGGGAATCCCTTCGTGCGTCTTGCGGAGTGGGCCTTGATAAAGTCCGGCGTTGTGAATCACGCAGTCGAAGGCTCCCAGTTTGTTGACTTCGTTGGCCATGTTTTTGGTTTCGGATAGGCTGGATAGGTCGCCTGTTATGACTGTGTCGGCTCCTGGGCATGCTGTCGTGGCGTCCTTTGCGCGTTGGGCGTTGCGCGCGTGGAGGACTGCGGTGCGTCAGCGCGGGGATGTCGTTCAGGTTGGTGATCATAGATACACACCAACAGAATGTCCATTTGCAACGAGACGCTGGGCGACGGCGGATCCGAGACCGTCGGAAGAGCCTGTGATGAGGATGCGCGCCATCATAGGGAGTGTAGATAGGCGTTTACAGGTTTGGACGAAATACGTGGACGTGAGGAAGAGGCGTTGGGTTAGTAGGATGCTGCAATCTTTGTGGCGTCATTGCATCATGCCACTTTAGGACTCCTAGATACGATGCGCTCGCATCGCAGCTCGGAAGTTACGCATTCCCGCCTGTCTCGAAGTGGACATGGCGGGGGAGAGACGGGTGGCCCCAGCGACAACCACCAGCCCCCAACCGCCCACCGCTTGCCAGGCAGCACTCTTGCTCCAACACTATTGGAGCACGACAGCATACCTTAATTCACACCATGTCGGTGCGGCGCATTAGCCAGTGCTTATTTGCGATAAGCTCGTCGACGTACGTGCGTATCGTAGCGATGTGTGTGCCACTAGGCTCGGGTTTCACGCATTTCGGGCCAGATTGATCTCGGGTCAGGCGTGCCTCAGCGCATCAAGGCTGAGCTTTGGACGCCTTGGATGCAAGAGCATCACCACTTCAAGGTATATAAGTAACGTGTGTCGCGTCCATCGAGATGCCTCAACACATCATCGCCAAAGACCTCATCAGAACCATGTCTCTCGCAACAGCTCCCCAACTCAAAGTTCTCGTCAACGGTGCTGGCATTGCAGGATCAAATTTCGCCTACTGGCTCGCCAGAACAGGTCTGAATGCCTCCATCACCGTTCTAGAACGCTCGCCATTCCCTCGGCCCACCGGCCAGTCCATCGAGATTCGCGGTCCAGCCATCTCCATCGTCGAGAAGATGGGCCTCTTGCCAAGCGTACTTGCACGCAACACCACGGAAGAGGGCACACGCCTGATCAACGCACAAAGCAAGATTGTCGCCGAGTTCGGAAAAGGCGGCTTTACATCCGAGTATGAGATCCTGCGATCAGATCTCTGCGGCCTATTCTTGGATGCGTCGAAGAGTATGAAGAATGTGAAATACGTGTACGGCGACTACGTCACAGCGGTACAACAAACAGACCAGTCGGTGGACGTGACCTTCGACAGTGGAGCAAAAGACAAGTTCGACCTCATCGTTGGCGCAGACGGCTCAGCGTCACGAATCCGCTCCCTTATCCTGGATGAAGAGACGCTCAAGGGAAGTTACAACTTCATCGGGCAATACGTCGCGTACTTCAGCATTCCCCGCCAGGAATCCGACACGAAGCACTGGTATTGGTACAACGCACCAAAAGGCCGAGGCTTGATGACGCGACCGCATCGCAACGGCAAGACGATTGGGTGTTACGTCATCATCACAACGCCAGCACATGGACACTACGATCCCCTCGTCGAAGCAGCGATGGAAGGCGGTCCCGAGAAGCAGAAAGAAATCCTTCATACGTATCTCGACGATGCGGGGTGGCAGGCTGAGCGCATCCTCGCCGGCATGGACGCATGCGACGACTTCTATATGAGCCGCTCAGCGTACGTCAAGCTTCCCACTTGGACGAACAATCGTGCTGTTCTTCTTGGCGATGCAGCCCACGCCACATTCGGTGTTGGCACTACCCTCGCTGTCGAGGGCGCATACTTCCTCGCAGGCGAACTCGGCAAGATCAAGACCACCGACGATATCCCAGCTGCGCTCAAGCGCTACGAAGAGACGTACCGTAAGGTCCAAGGTCAAGGTGCAGACTTGCCGCCTGGCTTCCCTCAGTTCGCTTTCCCTCAGACTACTTGGGCAATAAGGCTACGCGACGCACTCGCCTGGACGTTTTGCAAGACGAAAGCGTATAAGTTGTTGCCGGAGGACAAGCCGGATGATTCGAAGCTGCCGCCGTACGAATGGGTCGCTGTGTGAGTAGGGGGCTCTCACGTGTTTTCTTGCTTCACAACAACGATACCAAATGCGATCGCTCTATTATCGCCGTCCTTCTCTCGATTCTATATGCGCTGATTAGCAGACACAAATACACCACTGTAACTACTCACATACTCACAGCCTACTTCGCTGTCTCTTCCATGATTCTTTGCGATATAAAGGACTCCCTGCGCTGTCTCGATATGAGCAACGCACTCTACCACAACGCTTTGTTACTGCATCATCCTTCGCTTGTTCTTTATAGCATCTCCATAGTCAGGATTCTTAGCGAATCTAGCCTCTGCTCACGATGACTCTCACCGATCCGTTTCCTGAAACACATGCGTTGATCGCACTACTGCCAGAGACGAGCCACAGCCTAAAGATGCCTCTACTGTACCTGTCGACCCGCCAGACAGAGTGGCCCATCTACCAGTCTCTACATCGCAACATCTACCCAATATGCTTCCTCTTCGTCTTTCTTCTTCGCTACACCCGCGTTCTTGTTAGTCTATACGGCACCTATAGATACCGGCCTACACCTATACCGCTCAACCCCACATACCACATCAACGATGTCACAGTCATCATACCCACCACAGACCTCATGTCCGTAACACTGCATCACGTTGTCCGCTCCATACTCAACCAAAACGTACCCAAGCTCATCATCGCAACCGCCGGCACACAAGCCGCAGAACAATTTCGCTCTTTCCGAGCTCTATTCCCAGAGAGCAAGGTCGTGGTGGCCCATCGCGTCAAGGCCTCACGCCGGGAACAAACAGCCCAAGCCCTCAAGCAAGTCGAAACGCGCCTCGTCATCCTGCAGGACGACCACACATACTGGCCCCAATCCGCGCGCTTCATCGCTTCCGTGATCGCACCTTTCGAAGACACCAAAGTCGGAGCTGTCAGCGCTGACCTGCAAGCTCGGCACCGCGGACACCCCTTCTCCTGGCCCGGATTCTGGAACTTCATGGGCATGACCTACCTGATGCGCCGTTCCTACGAGTACCGCGGCACCTACGGCATCGACCGCGGCCTCTCAACGTTACCAGGCCGTTTCGGCGTCTTCCGCACGACTATCTATGCATCGCCCGAGTTCCTAAACGGATACCTAAACTCGTACATGCCTTTCAAAACCGAACCTCTTAACTCCGATGACGACAAATTCCACACCCGCTGGCTGATTGAGCATGACTGGAAAATGGGTCTGCAAGCTGGTCCCGATAGCGTTATGACGACGGAACTGGGCGAGTGGCCCAAGTTCATGAGTCAAGTACTCCGCTGGACACGCACGACTTGGCGGAATAACCCCGCGCAGTTGATGGGCAGGCTGACGTGGGTGCGTCATCCCTTCATGAGCTGGAGTCTGCTCATGTGGTTCTTCCGTCAATCGCTCACACAGGAATCGTGTATGTACATGACGCTTCGTGCTTCGCTGAAGCAGTACGGAAAGGCTGAGTACTTCCCCATCAGCGCATCCGCGCTCACGCTCTGGATCCTGTCGTTCAAGTTTGTCAAGATTCTGGAACACTTTCGCAAACATCCTGCCGATGTTGTGTATTTCCCCGCGTATCTTTTGTTTGGTCATTTGCATGCGTTTGTCAAGATTTACGCGTTGCTGACTTGTATGAATGCGAGTTGGACTACGGCGGAGAAGGTGAATGGGAATCTGGGGAAGGGAAAGACACCGCAGTCTGAGTCGAAGGCGCGCTCTGTTCATTCGGTAAAGACAGAGGACGGGGTAGCGGAAGACAAAAGCCAGGAATCGCCTTCGAAGCAGGTTGCTTTGGATGTACCTCCAGCCGTTCAAGAGAGGCCAAAGCGGCCGGCTATGTTTGTGCGCAGGTCGCGGTATTATTCTCAAGCGCCAGGCGTAGGTGGATGGTTGGGGTGATTGCTGTCGATTATGTGTAGCTTTTCCACTGTCCTTCCGCGAGCGTAGCAAGTGTAGCTAGCATATTACGAGCTAGATCAATAACTTTAAATCGGTGCTGTTCATGACACCTGATTGCAGTGGAGAAGCTTTCGTTAAGTTCCACACTCACACCCACGCTTGTCGCAATAGACTTGTCGGCTAAATCCATGCTCAGCCTCTTCGGCGCAAGGGAATCGTGGGGTAGAAGTCCTCCCCATGTCTGATACGAAGTGTATATAGTAGCCTCGATCGGAGGACACGGAATAATGTAGATTCCGCAAATCACCATACGATAGTGATGAGATCTGCGCCGAATGCAGATTGAACGATACGATGAACAGCCTGTTTGTGCCCCACATGTTAACTGCAGGGTATACTTCAGCGAGATGCTCTCCACAACCGTTTTGAAACCATCACCATTGAACGCATCATGTATTTCGCACTGTCGCATCTCGCAGTCCTTGGGGCTATATCGCATGTCACTTCAGCAGTCTCTCTGGAAAATCGCCAAGCGCAGCAGAAAGTCACCATCGACCTGACAAAGAGATACCAGACAATCGACGGCTTCGGTTTCTCAGGCGCATTCCAGCGCGCAAACCTCATCGTCAATCTTCAGCAGCCCAAACAGCGCGAGGTTCTCGATATACTCTTCAACACGACCACCGGTGCTGGCTTCTCAATCGTGCGCAACGGTATTGGCTCGACACCCAATAGCAACAGCGATTTCATGAATACGATCCTTCCTAAATGCCCAAGCACACCGGTTGAAGTCACTACTAACTACAGCGGGTACGTCTGGGATGCTAAGGATAGCGGACAGTTGTTCCTCAGCCAGAGAGCTCAAGAGTATGGCGTCAATACCTTCTACGCGAATGCATGGAGTGCGCCTGGATGCATGAAGACGAACAACCAAGACACCAACGGCGGCCAGCTCTGTGGTGTACGTGCATCCCCGAGGTTCCCTCATCGCGTCCGCTAACCTGCCCCAGGTCTCTGGTACCAATTGCCGCTCTGGAGATTGGAAACAAGCCTACGCGAACTACCTCGTCGCATACATCAACTTCTACGCATCAGCCGGCGTCAAAGTCACACACCTCGGCTTCCTCAACGAGCCCGACTTATCCACCTCGTACGCCTCAATGCAATCATCCGGTACCCAAGCCGCCGAGTTCATCAAAGTCCTTCGTCCCACACTCGACCGTGCAAACTTGACTTCCGTAGGCATAAACTGCTGCGAAGCAACAGGCTGGAACGTCGCAACCCAACACGCTTCGCAAATCGCATCTGCCGGCACCGAAAGCCTCGTCTACGCCATCACCTCACACGAGTACACTTCGCGCATCAGCGGCACCATGCGCACCGCCGCTCGCGTCTGGCAAACCGAGTACTCAGACCTGAGCGGCGGTTGGAGCACAGCCTGGTATTCCAACGGCGGTGCCGGCGATGGCTTCACCTGGGCGAACACCGTCTTCAACGGTATCGTTAACTCCAATCTGTCCGCATACATCTTCTGGGAAGGCGTCCAGGACCGCGCTACGAATAATAATAACAACGAGAAGCTTATTCTGGTTGATGGCCAGAACTACCAGGTCAGCAAGCGGCTTTGGGCTTTCGCGCAGTTTCGCGTCGTTAGGCCGGGTGCTGTGAGGGTGGGGGCGAGTGGTGGGGCGAATTCCAAGGCTGGGGCTTTTGTTAATGGGGATGGGAGTGTGGCGGTTGTGGTTATTAATTCTGCGGCGGGTGCGCAGAGTGTGGGTGTTGCGCTGGCTGGGTATTCGGATGTGAGGGCGTGGTATACGGATAATACTCACGACATGAGTGTTGCGACGGTGACGGTGGGCAGTGATGGGACTGCGAGCGCAAGTGTGCCAGGTAGAGCGATGATCAGTTTTCTGTTCAAGAAGACTGCGAATGCGACGATGTCGTAAGTTGGGTGGTGGGTGTGGAGAGTGGCCTGGGCGCGCTAGGCGTTCAAGCCCCACCGCGTGAAGGCGCCACTTCCGCGTGACATGAGCTGAGGTCACATCTTCAATCTCGAACAAACACTGCGTTATCCTTCGCCTGTCGTCAAATGCCATGTGCCTTCGTAACTGTCCCGTGGATTTTGTGAGGCCCCTCCAATACGAGGCGGCACGCTCACAGCGCGCTGAATGAAACCAAAGCGCTTTTTTGACCCCGCTCACAGCTCGGTCCTTCTCCCCCAAGAAATCGCATCACGCGTTATCGCATCGTATTCGGACAGCAACATGGCTATCTTACGATGCAGATCGGATTTTGTGAGAGAGTTCGAGCAGTCACCGCTATAACGGCCAAGGCTCGGTCCGCAAGAAGCGCGAATTCTCCGGTGGTAATCCGCAATGGGGAAAGGGGCCGATAGCTAATATTGAAAAGTGGACACTATCCACGATCTCCATGCTGGTGTTTCTATTTCCTGTCCACACACAGGGCACATTGAGCAACATGACCGTGCTATACGAAGTGCGCATGAACATCGACATGTCCCGAAAGCTTCCAGATAACGCTACGGGCTTGGTCTTCGTACAGATATAATGGTCATCATGGCTGCGATGCCACACACGCATCCCCCTCACGCTCGCTTTTGACAATGGGAAAGATCTCTTGCGCCATCGCGGCCCTTGTTCTGGGCGCGCAATTTGCCGTCTCAACGCCCATTCATGCTCGACTCCAACCGAATGCGATTGTACAACGAGCTGCAAATGACACGCCTGTGGCAGGCGGCATCATGCCCGGTGCCTACATTGTCGAGTTCGCGGATGACGATGAGACACCGGAGTCATTCTACGCGTCTCTTGCAGCTAGCGGCGTACAAGTTGAACCTCGCATGGACCTGAGCTTCCGTTTCTTCAAAGGCGTCTCGTTCCAAGTCAAGAGGTCGAGCTCGAACTCGACTGGCGGGGACTTTCTGCGTCAGATGAAGGCCCAGCCGCAGGTCGAGAACATATGGCCGACGCGCATCACCACACGTTCGGGCGAGGAAAGTGTTGTAGCACCTTCCCAGCAGAAGCGCACCAAGCGGCAAACCACCTCCGAGCGCACCTTTTCTCCTCATGTAATGACCCAGGTTGATAAGCTGCACGCAGAGGGCGTCACCGGCAAAGGTTTCCGCGTCGCTATCGTTGACAGCGGTCTCGACTACACCCACCCAGCACTCGGCGGATGCTTTGGACCGGGCTGTCTGGTAGAAGCGGGGTACGACTTCGTCGGCGATAACTACATACCAGGCAAGACACTCCCTGAGCCCGATGACGACCCCATGGACAATTGCGGTGGACATGGTACCCACGTTGCAGGCACCATCGCCGCTCAGCTCGAAGGCAACGAGTATGGCTTCACAGGCTCTGCTCCCGGAGCAAAGCTAGGCGCATACAGGATGTGGGGCTGCACATCGACTTCCACGAACGAGATCGAGCTGATGGCATTTGCTCGGGCTGTCGAGGACGGCGCAGACATCATCTCTTACTCCAACGGCGATGAGTCGGGCTGGGCGCAGGATGTACGTGCTGTCATCATCTCCCGCATTGTCGACTCCGGTATTCCTGTTGTGATATCTGAAGGCAACGGCGGAGGCCAGGGCATGTTTTACGCTTCTACACCGGCAACGGGATACAGCGTCATGGGTACAGGGGCAGTGTCCAATACGAAGTTCCCCACATTCCTCGAGCGAGGCTCCTACACGACTGGTGCCAATGCTACCAGCAACGGCACGACCGACTTTGGCTTTCTGATGGGTGTACCCGAATTTGCTGCCGACACAACACTCCAGCTGTGGTCTGCTGCCGATGTAGATGACGCTTGCAAGCCCTTGCCCGATGATACGCCAGATCTGAGCCAGCGCATCGTGCTTTTGGAGTTCAAGGATGCAAGAGCAACCCAGTGCTATCCGCAAGATCAGGGCGCGAATCTCGCCGCGAAGGGTGCACGATTTATGATCTACTATGAGCGCAGCAACCTTACGATGCGGGACGAGCCATACGTCTACGCCGACGGGATCGAAGGAGTAGTCAAGGCTGTCCCATACGTTGCCGAGCGTTGGCTTTCCCTCCTTTCGCAGGGCAGCACCGTATCCGTGACAATACCCGCGAATGGAACCCAGACGCACCTCGAGGAGCTTGAGAACAATGAGACCGGCGGATATGTCGCGGGCGAGCTGAGTAGCTGGGGCCCAACCTGGGAGCTGAGCATGACGCCACAGATTGTATCACCCGGAGAGAACATCCTGAGCACGTATCCGACGGCTTTGGGTAGCTACCGCGTCATGACTGGTACCAGTATGGCAACGCCGCTGGTTGCAGGTGTCTACGCAATGCTTGGTGAGGTATACGGCAAGTTGGAACCAGAGCGCCTTCGCAGGATCCTCACACACACGTCCAAGCCACTTGCATGGCACGACGGTACGAAGGCATACCCCGACATCCTCGCTCCAGTCGCCCAGCAAGGCGCCGGGCTGATTCAAGCGTGGAACGCTGCCCACACCACTCTTGAGCTCGATGTCGACAGTCTCATGCTGAACGACACGGAACACTTCGTCGGCACCCGAACCTTCAGCATAAAGAACACTGGCTCCACCGACGAGGTCCTCGACTTGGACCACCGCAAAGCCGTCACAGTATACACTTTCCAACCCAACGTCCCCGACCTACGTACAGGCGTGTTCCCCAACCCTGCCGTTGACTCATGGGCCACTGTCTCCTTCTCCTCCCGCATCAACGTCCCCGCTGGCCAGTCCGCCAAGGTCACCGTCGACATCACACCACCCGCAGATGTCAACGCAACCCTACTCCCCGTCTACAGCGGCTTCCTCAGCATCGGCGACAAGCTCCACCTACCCTATCTAGGCGTCGTCGGAAACATGCGCGACGTGCCCATCGCAACGGCCGACAGAGTCTACCTCGCGCAAGGATACTCGCCCGCGCCTGCAAACTCCTCGTACACAATCCCTAGACCAGACCCTGAGAACCCGCCTTTGACCGACCGCGGTGACATGCAAAACACACCGAATGTATACGTTGGCACGTTAGTAGGCTCGTCGTTGGTGCGCGTCGAGGTGGTGCAGGAAGACAAGGTGTTGGGTGCGTTGGCTGGATTTCCGCAGACGTACGTTGCCAGAGGTGAGGTGCGCGCGTACTTTAATGGGTTGATGGCGGATGGGACGGTGCTTGACGAGGGGGCGTACAAGATGAAGGTTAGTGCGCTGCGCATATTCGGGAATGAGGAGCGTGAGGAGGATTGGGATGTTTTTGAGTCGGTTAGTTTTAAGGTGAGGTACGCTGTGTAGTAGCTTTGCGACGTGGGTTCAAACTGAATTGATACGTTCTGAGAATGTCTTCATTTCACTCCTTCTACTTTGGTCAGCCTTGAACATGCACGATAGTTTGCAAAGTCCTGTCGCGTGGTCACTTTCAAGAACAGCGGCTCCGATGATGTACACTGTATCCCTCCTTCAGGTAGCGATATCATAGGCGTGTGGATGCGGGCTCTTGCTCGCCCGCCGTGCAGATAGACTATTTCCAGCGCGGTAACGCCATGCGCGACTTTTTCTGGAATATTACGCCACGGGCCGAAGCCATACCCACGGCGCCGCAACACCGCGCTCAAGCGACTCACGAACGGCTTGTATCGCTCCGGAACTTTCCTTCTCCGCAACTCACCCGGGCGTCGAAACGCGCTACATCGACCACTGCCGGCGGTATCACGTCATCCTCTGCGACAACGACTGGCTCAACGCACGCAAAGCTTAAGTCCCCTCCACCCTGAAGGCATACCAACGCGCATCCTCTCCCCGCATCCTGTTCGACCCCACAGACTCTATCCGATGTCCCAGCAGCGGGAATCGCGAGCGTGGACAACGGCCTAGACTCCGCTCCTCAGCCTCCTTCGCGCGATCTGGTACAACTCGGCGTCAGTCTTGGCGTAAGGGTCGTGCAATTCTGACATTGAAGGGCTACGAGGTGCGATACATTGTGATCAGCGGAACCAAGGCCGTTGAGCAGAGCGCACGGCGGAGCAGCGGAGGGACACGATGCGCAATCGCACTGCGAGCAGGTATGACGTCGAGCGGATTAGTGATGGCGCCTGAGGGACGCATGTCATGTCAGGCCCACTCGCTACCACACGTCTTACCTAACGACAACAGCTGCCCCAGATTGAGGCTCTGCGCTACCATCCGTACCTTGCAACTGTTACCTAACGACAATGCCTTTCCCCAGACTGCCGCTCCGCATCCTCCGAACTCTTTACATAACAGCAAATCTGCCCCAGATCGCGTCCGTAGCACTGGGTCAGCCCTGGTGTCAGTTTGCGGACGGAGTGCTGCAACTTGGCTTCCAGAAGCCGTGCTCACCGGAGTGGTTGCGTAGCTGCTTGTCCTTTGGCTCGGGAAGGTAGTCGAGTGCGGAGGAGGCCCGTTCTCCACGTGCTTCCTTCCCGAGTATTCCTCCGATACCCTCATATCCAGCGCCAATACTCGGAAATATATCTCCAAGTTGCGCAAGTCTCTCCGCGTCTTGGACGCCCATCGCAATAGATTCCTGGAGTTTGATACGACCATGTATCAGCTTGCGGCATTGCGATATAGCATTTCAGGTACTATACCAGCACACGACCATCTCGGGACTGTTGCGGTTTGGTTCATGGTGTAGCGATACAGGGTCGCATGACAGCCTTGAGGATCTGGATGCTCAAACTACACCTGTAGCGTGCCTGTGTACCATTGCAACCTGTTCACTAATGCGCCACTTCCACGCGACTCCGACCTCCTCTATATGCGCATGCTATCTCTGCAATCTCTTCGCGCACCCACGCATATCATCGATATTGACACAATTCATTCGAAAACGCGACAAGAATGACGCATTCTCGTTATTTCGCTATCTTGGAAAGCATTGTTGAACAGATCTCAGCGGACCCTCGTCCCACAACGTAGGCCCAGAAATCCACAAAAGATAAGCGTCTATTTCACTTGGTCCGAAGTGCTTCGGCCCTGTTCCGGTCCTGGCGCGCGTGCTTGTCGTCGCGCGCAGCAGTGGTGGGCGGCCTTGTCGCGAAGCTTGCCCACGCCACCTGGGAAGCCACGACCGATTGCGCTCCCCCAGAGTGCTCTCGAACGCGCTCAACATGCAGTGCGCGGGCGCTTGACACTGGTGACATTCGACGATGCAAAAAATGGAGTCATTTTCCCGGGTTGGGCCTAGGTCGGCAAAACCTCGCTGTACCTGCACACATTTTTTCGCGGCTTAGTGCGGCTCCAGGCCAGGTTGCCTCGGTCTTTCGCGGCTCCACGCCTCTCACGCCAACGTGAAGCATCAACCACCAGTGTCCACTACCGCGAAACGACCCACGTACCTGGGGAAACAATGCGCGCGCGGCGACCTCCACATCGTTCCTGGGTCTGTGCCAGCCGATGTCGGTCGGGCCGACGATTCTTGCATATGTAAATGGCAGACGGTCGCCCTTGGAGGCAGGACTCATTTTCGTGCGCCATCTCCTCTTGATACCCAGGAACACTCATCAGGGCGACATGGGCTTCTCCAACGACAAGATCAGCGACGACAAGATGGGCAACGACCTCGAATACGGCGCCCAGCTCAAGCCTGAGGACACCAACCCAACGGGTCAGACCGATGCCGTCTTTGGTGAAATCGTCGAGGGAGGACCCAACTACCGCAGCGTATGTTCCCATACCATCATTCCTACCCAACGCATACTGACATTCTGCAGGTCAGCTGGTGGGGTTCCTCCGTCATCATGATGAAGACTCAGATCGGTCTCGGTGTCCTATCAATCCCCGCTGCATTCGATGCTCTGGGCCTCATTCCGGGTATTATCTCGCTGCTCGCCATCGGATTGATCACCCTGTGGTCTGGATACATGGTTGGTACATTCAAGATGCGTCACCCCGAGGTGTACGGTATCGAGGATGTAGGACAGAAGCTCTTTGGGCGCACAGGCCGCGAGGTGCTCGGTCTTGCGTTCGCTTTACTGTGGACGTGCGTTGCTGGCTCCGGTATGCTGGGTATCTCCATCGGCTTGAACTCGTTGTCTGAACACGGCACCTGTACCGCTGTCTTCGTGGCGGTGGCCGCCTTCGTGGGCTTCGCTATTGCTTCGATCAAGACCTTGGGCAAGCTCTCCTGGATTGCGTGGGTTGGTCTTGTTGGCATCATGTCGGCTATCATTACCCTCACCGTCTCAGTCAGTCTTCAGGATCGCCCCTCTGCGGCGCCTCAGTTCGGCCCCTGGGAGTCTGACTTTGAGCTCTTCAAATCGCCTACCTTCGCTGAGGCATCGGCTGCTCTTTCCAGCATTGTCTTTGCGTTCTGCGGTATCCCTGCGTACTTCAACGTCGTGTCCGAGATGAAGGACCAGAAGGACTACTTCAAGGCTCTGTCGCTGTGCCAGTTCGTCATGACCTCGATTTACGTCGCCATCGGCATCGTAGTCTACTACTACTGCGGATCGTATGTCGCTTCGCCTGCACTGGGATCCGCCGGTGTCTTGATGAAGAAGGTGTGCTACGGTCTTGCGCTTCCGGGTCTGCTTGCCTCCGTCGTCCTGGTCACTCACGTAAGTTCCTCATTCCTCTTCCGTTTACTCCTTACAGACAGTATGCTGACCTCAAACAGCTCGTCGCCAAGTACTTCTTCATCCGCACCCTGCGCGGAACCAAGCATCTCAGCCACCCCACCACCAAGCACTGGATCACCTGGTTCGGCTTCACCGCCGCCGTCTCCCTAACCGCCTACGTCATCGCATCCGCAATCCCCGTCTTCGGCGGTCTCGTCTCGCTCGTCGGCGCCCTCTTCGGCACCCTCATGAGCTTCCAGCCCATGGGCTGCATGTGGCTGTACGACAACTGGCACCGGTCCAACCGCGACTGGAGGTGGAAGGGTATGGTCGCATGGTCCGTCTTCGTCATTGTGTCTGGCACGTTCCTCCTCATTGGCGGTACTTATGGTTCCATTGCCGGTATCATCGACTCGTACAACAAGGACGGTGGCACCAAGGCTTGGACTTGCGCGGATAACTCCAACTCCAGCGGTGGTCACTAAGCGTGGCTGTGGCTGTTTGTTGGAAGGAGCGTCATGATTGCATGGTCGCTCCAGTCTTGTTCTTTAGCGTTGCATATGCACGATTCGAATGTATATATCATACCCTGGCTCAATATAAGCCGTATCTGAAGATTTGAGTTCATTGACTTTGCAAAACTGTTGCCTTGAGTCGTTTGTTAATACCTTCTCTTTCGAACGAAAGGTAAAAGTCGAAACCGGCGACTGCTTCTGGGGGACACCGCCATCATGCGCCGCGGTAGTCGCCCAAGCAACGTTCAGTTGACAGCACATCGCCACCTGGGGAATTCTCATGTGCGTGGAATCTAGTCTCGGGGCGTGGGCGGCATTCGCGTCGATGCGGTTGCAGTGTCTTGGGCGTCGAAAAAAAGTTGTTGATGTTGTCCTTGGTAACGGGGTCGATCGTAGAAGGAACGGGGCGCAGAGTTGACGACTGGCTTCAGCAGACTGGATGTAGGAAGGTAGATGTAAAGCTTGAAACTGAGAGCGAAACAATGCATGGAGAAGCTGGAAGGAGAGACGCGGAGCTTGATAACGTGCGCAATTACATAGAAGACTAGATCGCGGTGTGCGCAAACCACATGGCGACAGCACAACAACCTACCTGATCCTACTAAATGCCTTAAAGCCAGATACTTATCCTCCTTCTCCGGGTGCAACGGCAACGGGCTTCTTATCTACCTGCTGTTCCGCGCCCTACGCCCTCACACGCCCTACATGTACTCCGCGTCCACGCCTTTCCCGCAGGAGATCCACGCGGGAAAAGTGGGTTTCACACACCGACTTCGCACCACGGCACCTTCCCTTTCGTTCACCATGTCTGGAGGGACCTTCCCGTTTCGGTCGCGCTTTCCATGGCCCTTATCTGAAGGCGCATTATTGTTCGTCGTGACTTTCCTTGGATTGCCGAGATATCCATGGATGGGTGAGGCACGTGGTGACTATGCGATGGGGGGATGTTCACGCTGCGGGCTGCTTCACAGCTCGCGTGCGACCCGGGGAGCAGCGATACCAGAGGATGCGGCAGCAGCAAGATTATTGTTCCAGGCCACGATCCGGCTGCAGCTGGTTATCTCGCTGCTAGCACACGTGTCCACGTGGTCGCGCGTTGAGTTGCGGGACCGGAGCCTCCCAAGGTCGTCGCGACTGGCCCCACTACCGCCTTCCCTACCAGACACGACCTTGCTTCAGCATCTGTCAACGTTTTTGTCTGGGCGACGGGCATCGTTCCGCGCATCGCGCCAGTTGCGCAAGGGCGGACGCATCTACACATCAAGAGGTGTTTGGATGCCCTAAACGAGGAGCACATTCCCCCGACACTCGCTGAAGACCTGGGTGCTGGAGCGCACGCTCGACGACAGCCCGCCAGGCCAAGTTCAATGTCCTGATCGCACCCAAGATATCGTCTATCCTTCGCCCAGCGCAGGTGCTGCTGACATAACAACTTCATCTCCCCATTCGAGACTCAGGCCTCAAGCAACCGCAGCCGCTACTCCCCCAGTCGCACGCGCGCTCGCAGTCCTCAGACCACATCCCTAAGACAACGAAGGCAGTCACCCTTCTTAGCTTAATTTCGTCGCGCTGTATCGGACAGTTTGAGGTCCATGTGGAAGCTTTACACGAGGGTATGTCACTGACTTCCAGGTAAGGTGCAGCATGTGTTTCTCAAAACGCCCAAGACACGCTCGTCACAGGATCGCTACTGCCTAAGTAAGTGGGACCAGCGCTGTGCAAAACAGAACGACTGTACAGCATGACATTATGACAAACCTGGGGCGACTACCAAGTTGCCCAGGATTCAAAGAAGATGGTGAAAAAGCGCTTGCATGAACGCAGCGAAATCCTTCCAAGAGGTGCATTTCGCCGGGGCGGCGCTGCACTGGCTGCGCCGTGATGGTAGTGTTCCGACGGTGTTCAATGCAGCTGGATAGCATTAGCCAAGTCCGCAGCTGGCAGAACTCGGTGTACTGCACAAAGGCTCGGCATCTTGCCGACATCCGAACTTGAGAAACGGCTTGTTCTTAAAAGGTGGAATAATCAGGTGTTCTCGGGTTCCCCTACCGATAATCCTGGCTGTGTCGTGAGTCGCAAGTATTGGAAGGCTCGCCAAGACGACTGCGACTCTCTCGCAGTGATCCTTCTTACAACGTTCTATCAGTGTCCGTAGTTATCATTGGCTAAAATGTTGTGCTGCGCCTGACTTCTGCCTGGCTGAAACCCTCTGTAACAGGGAAGTCGGCCCTACGTGTGTTACAAAATCGAGTCGGCCCTACAGATGGACCATGCCAAGAAGTCCAGAAAGAGGCGCACACTGGAGCTTCGATTCATGATTGGTACCTTTGACAAGACGCCACTACGGGTCGAACGACAGCCGCAGGCACTCTTGCCTCGTTACGGGCGTAGTCGTGACCCTCTAAGGCTTAGACTGAGGCTGAACGACATGGTGACATCGGCAGTACCCGTTTCATGGGCATGAAACGGGCATTAGCAAGTCACGAGATCGTTCTTCGCGACTCATCCCCTCATCTCGTCACTCCAGTTTGCATAACCCCGAATACCTCGAGATGTCTACTCTGCCAAGAGAATGCACCTGGGGAGAGGTTTTGAAGATGTGTCGTGCAGGGTACGCTAGGAGTCACGACGTCCTCGGACCGACTGAGAGCTCGACTTCGCAGTATAGTGCGAGGAAACGGTGACAGCACTCAGATCAAGTTGAAGGATTGGAAAGGTACAAAAGGCGAGGTCCAGTCGTTCACATATCCATCATCCATTCAACTTCACTTCTTCACTTCTTCTTCTCAACACTTCCAACTTCGCTTCTATTACCTCAAGTCTGTGACTTTCGAACACTCAACATGCCTTCTTTCACTACCATCGTCGCCGCTCTTGCCGGCTGCTCTGCTATCGCCAACGGCGCCGCCGTCCCTACTCCCGAGGCCCGCGAGAACAGCCTCAGCAAGCGCGAGCCAGTTCTCGCAACCATTCTCGTCGCGGCTGGTACCGCAGCTGTCAGCGCTGTCGTCACCAAGGCCGTCGACGCCACTGCCAAGTTCATTGGTGACGTCCAGAACTTCGATGAAGCTCGCGAAGCCTTCACCCAGCAAACCACCAAAGAGATGATGGCCAACAACCCCGACCCTGCCCGCTTCCAAGCCGCCGCCTGCTACAACCAGGGCTTCTCGGTCGCTGACCCCGCCAACATCGACGGTCAGAACTCTGTCAAATTCGAGCTTGGCCTTCTCAACACCGACTACGAGTGCATGTACATTGCTGCTCCTAACCAGTTCTTCACTGAGGGCGACGGTGGATTCATTAACGTAAGTTCCAGCTATTCACGGAAGCTCATGCAAACTTCGACTAACAACACAACCAAAGCTTGCGTTTGAGCATACCGACCGCTGCACTTTCGACGAGGCTACCGCCGATCTTACCTGCGTCTAAGCGACAGTACTTTGGGAGGGGGAGGTTGATCGGGGAATCAGGAGATGGAGAATTGGAGGCGAAGTTTTGAAAAGGTTGAATGTGGAGCATGAACATGGTCGTTGATGTGATCGACGCATACAAAGCAACGTTCTCTTCTGTGTCCAATAGTAAATTAGGTCTTTGTGCTCCCACACTCTCTTCCTCATGCACGTGTTCATTCAAGAGCATACTCCCGGCCAAAGAAGCAGCTATTGCGACACTCCATATCTCCCGTAAGGCATTCCTAGTCCATGACATACTTTCCAAATGCTTTTGTAGGTACCTTTCGTTCAAACATGAGATCCAACTCTTCGTAAGTTCTGCCTTTCATTTCAGGAACACGGAAATAACACCACATCAGACACGGGATGCTGAGTCCACCAAAGAAGAACCCAAGCTTGCCACCCAAATTGGCTGCGTCTGGGTTGATCAAGTACGGAATTGCGACGGTCATGATAATGCCGACAAGAGCCTGAGCAGCGGTTGCGACGGCGACAGTCTTCGAGCGTACCCTTGTCGCGCTGACTTCGCAGAAGATGGCAAAAGCCACGGGTCCGACGCTCCAGTTGTAAACAGAATTCCACACCAAGAGCCTGGAAAGTTAGCGCAAGATTCAACGTCGGAATAATGCACACTCACAGTGAAGACTTCGCCCATGTCGCTCCTGTCGTAGGTACGAGGTCAAGTATACCCACAAGAAACATAAGAACCGTCAGAATTGTGAGGCCAACACCGAACAGCGTTCTTCTCCCGAACTTCTGCATCAAGTACCATGACAACAGCACACTGACCCAACCGATAGCCATGAACCCAATGCCCATGTTGAACGCTTGCGCGGTCTCAAGACCAGCGAGGGTGAAGAAGTACGTTCCGTAGTTGATGAGATACACACCACATAGAACCTGGGTAGAATACACCCCGATCGCAATCTCCGTTCGGCGCCAATTGACCTTCTTGAAGACGTCGGCATAGGTACTACCCGCTTCCATATCATTCTCCAGTCTATCCGTTTCCATGATCTGTGCGAGCACAGCCTTGACGTTGACCTTGGCGCTCGTGAGCCGGCGAAGAGACTTCTCGGCGTCTTCGAGCCGATTCTGACGCACCAGCCACCATGGACTTTCCGGAGCAAAGAACATTCCCGGGAGAATCACCAAGACCCAGAACCATTGCGTCGCGAACGGAATTGAATACGCCCAGTGGGACTGAAGATGCTGGGTCGCAGCCGCAACTCCGTTTCCAAGCAACTGGCCCGTGACGAAGCAAAGATTGACGTAAGAGGTCGAGACACTGCGCATGGCCAAGGGGGATACTTCCGATGCGTAGACAGGTGCGATGACAACAAAAGTGCCCAGCACCAGCCCAGCAAGAAGCTCTCCAGCAAGAAGAACTTGAAGCGAGCGCGCGAAGAACTGGATAAACACCAGGCCCGCGACAGCGATGACGCATGCATTAAACGTTCTCTTGCGCCCGTACCATTCCAACGGATAACCCGCAGCCAACGCACCGACGACCTGACCAATCGGGTTGCCCATTCCGAGTCCCGTCTGCCATGCCGCGGAGATGATGTACCCGTCCCCGAAAGCATAGCCGAAATCTTTTTGGAAAGCAGGTACTGCGTACAAGTTGCCGAGAAGCTGGGGATCGAATGCTGCACGCTTGTTAGTCACAGTTCAGACGTTGGCGGACCTCCTCGTACATAACATGATCACACCCAAGCTGAAGTAGAACGACCATCCTATTGCCTTGGGATAGAGTGACAGCGCCTCCCGAAATGTGAGCGCATGCTCGAGTTCGACGACTTCGCGGACTTCTTCTGCGGCGATCGAAAGCTTCGGTGCCATGGTCGCGCTCGGTTCGTCTAGGCTTTTCGTCGCGGTGGCCATGTTTGGCATTGAGGTGTTTGCACCGAGTTCAACCAACAATGTGAACGCACAAGATGGAGAAGCTTGTGAAGCCAAGCGCGTTGCTGAGCTTATATCAACATCCCTCCAGGTCCCTGCGCTGATACGCGCTTATCAGTAACACGGGGTTCTGCTGCCGATGCGGGGTTGTGAACGGGAATCGGTCCGCTTCTGGCTGAGATACGACGCTGTTCTTCGCGGCGCATCCTCTTTGCGGTTTGGACGTGAGCCAGAGTTACATTTGTTTGTATGATAGCCGGGATGAGCTGCGGTAACGAGGTGGCCTCGCCCTCGATTGTGAGCCGGCAAGGCTCGTAGGACGCGGGACTAGCATGCTTCGGCCTCGCTATCGCCCTCCAGGGCTCGCTATCGCATCAACGCCAGTGGGGCACAATCTTATCATCGAAGCGCTGCGGTAGCGCGACCTCGCCTCACAGCGCCCTCTCATGTGTCTGCGCGATGTGGTGTGGGGTGTGGAGATGGCGGAATGCGTGGAGGAACGAGGAAGTGGCGTGGAAGCGGACAGCGATGATGAGCGCGAGGAAGCGCGAAGACGACGGGCAGTAGGATGTGTGAAACGCGTGGTTCGCTGCGGATGCAGGTGCAGGTGGAGGCGTCCGAGTGCGTGATGGTTCGGAGGGACTGGTGCTGGACCCTGGCGGCGCTTCGCAGCAACGTTGGCGGGGCACGATCTGCGGCGCGTACTGCAGCGTCCTGAACGACGCACCTCCTTCAGTCCTTCGGCTCTCAGCCCGCAGCTCAGCCTTCAGCCTTTCCGCCAACCCAGAGATACGACCGTCGCCCACAATGGACACCGACTGTACACCACTCCAACCCGACTTCCCGCCCCACTGCAAAACACCATAATCGCGTAGACCCCCGCGACGCAGCACAGCAGCGAGCCCAGCTCGCTCGACAACACCGGCCTCTGCCCATTGTCGCGCGACGGCGGCGGTGTGCGCGGCCTGTCGACGCTGTACATCTTGAAAGACCTCACAACCCGACTGAACAACTAACGTCGCCATGTTGCTAGACCCTGGTCTTCACATCGTGAAGTCGTTCGAGATATTTACTCCTGTTAGCGACACTAGTACAGGCGGCTAGGTAGAGAAGTGCAAAGCTGCGAGACTCTATTGCTAGACTAGGCTAAGAGCTATTATACTTAGTTAGCTAGAGATAGACTATAGACAAATATATTATATTATATAGTAATCTAGTAGAAGCTATATTTAAGAATAGACCTTACTAGCTTTCTTCTAATTAGTATAATAAGATAAAGACGTAGTTTAACTTAGTAAAGCTAAAAAGCACTATTAATAAAGTAATATCTAAGATATATACTTTCTTAATAAATATCTTAAATAATAGTAAAGCTTATAGATACTATATATAAGTAGACTATATAACTAGAATATATTATACTAAATATATATAGAGTTTATCTATTTTTTATTAGTAAACTAATAATTCTATAGCTTATAAACTAGTTCTAAAAGAGTAAGATCTATTACTAGTCTACTAAAGAACGTATAACTAAAGATTTTATCTACTCTTAGAAATAGATAGATTAAAGAGTTTATTTATATATATTTATAAAATATTATTTACACTAGCTATTTAGTCTTAAGATTTAGAGTTTTTAGACTTTTTTACTATATTATTATATATATAAATAGAGTATATCTAGTTATATAATATACTTTAATTCTAGCTTTTAATAATTAATATTTAGTATAGTTATAATATTTAGAAGAAAAATAGTCTAACTTTATTAGATTTATAACTTTTACTATTAAATTCTATAAAATTTAGTTTATATACTTTTATATTCTAGTACTAGTCTTATAGCTTAAGTTAACTCTAGAAGCTTATTTAATACTATAAGCTAACTCTAGAAGCTTATTTAATACTATAAGCTAGCTTTAGAAGCACGTTCTCTACTATAATTATATCTAGAAAGTATACTCTATAGCGTAAGCTAACTCTAGAAGAATACTTAATAGCGTAAGTACGCTAGTAAATAGGTATAGATCTAGTTAAGGTTAGGTTATATTAGTAATAGCTCTAACCTAACCTTAACCTAATCTAAAAGAATATAGTATAGATAGGTATAGTTAGAGCTATCTTAAAATAGATTAGGTTAAGATTAGATTATTACATAATTATTAGAAATATTCTTAGATAATTATAAAACTAGCTATTTATATAGGCAGCTTATTTATAAAAGATATTATAGTTATTTATTATAGTACGTATTAATAGTAGCAAAAAGAATACTATTTAGAGCCTATAGCTATAGTTTATATAATATATAGAAGCTAACATATAAAGCTAATATATAAAGCTAATATACTAGTTAAGTAAAGCTTTTATAATTAGGTACTTCTTATAGAAGCTCTTAGTAAGCTATATATTCTTTACTTAAAGTGTAATTCTTTTAGCGTAGATAGTGTTAAGATTACTATCTATTATAATTAGTATAAGAGTAGTAATAGAGAGAGAATAGAAATATATACTATTAAAGAAGCTATATATAAAGGTCTTAGTAGCCTCTTAGAGAGCCTCTAGAGCTACTTTCTAAAAGCGTAGACTCTTCTAGATATACTAAGTAATCTTATAAATAAAGTAGTAGAAGAAGCCTTTATATAGTAGTAGGTTAGTACTCTTCTAGTAGCGCTTAATCTTACGTATAGTAATAGCTATACACTATTAGCTTAGAAACGTAATAATATAATATAATAACTTACTACTAGGCTTATAGTAGTGCAGCTTTCTAGATTAGCTATTCTTATTAATTCTCTATAGTTTAGTAACCTTAGCTATTATCTTATACGTAGCTTTTATAGCTAGATTTTTATAAGAGACTTTACTACTAGTATACGCGTTATTTACGCAGCTCTTTATACAAGCTATACTATAATAATTAAGTATAATAATTATTATATATAGTGTATTATTATAGTTATTATATAATAATTTAAAATATTAGTTATAGCCTAAGGTAGTATAGCGTAATTTACTAGATTTAAGCACTAGCTATATAATAACAAAATAACGCGTACATAATAAACTTAAATATTATAATAATACTATCTATAACTATATAATATATAACTATAATTATTATACTTAATTATTATAGTATAGCTATAATAAAGTAAGAATTTAAGCTCTTAGATAACTATATAACTATTAGAGCTACACTAGTTAAGCTACTAGAGTTCTTTAGAGCTAAGAAGTAGAAGAAGCTTACTAAGGTAATTATTATAGTTATTTATAATAGTATATACTAACCTAGAGAATAGAGCTTTAGTTGCAAGAATATTAAAATTGCTAGTATTCTTTAAGATCGCAGATCTAGTAGAATAAAGGCTAGACGCTTAATTAACTTTTAAGCTTTCTTTACTAGTTTATTAAGCTTAAGCGCTAGTACTATAGCTTAGCGTAATAGGTAGGCTATAATAATAGAAGAAGAGAATACTAAGAAGAAGGCTAGAAATATAGACTACGCTGCTATAGCTTTACTTAAGAAGAAGCTTAAGAAGTAGAGTAAGTAGAAGAATATATAGTATTATACTACTTAGTAGAAGCTTATCTAGAAGAAGTAGTATAACTAGAAGAAGAGCTATAAGTTATTATAGTTTATTATTATAGTATTAAACTAACTATAAGTAGTAGAATAGTTAGAGAATAGACTTACCTCTACTTATAAGAAATAGAACTATATATATAAGAAAATTAACTTCTACGCACTTTATACTACTCTAGATTACTCTTCTACTAGTAATAAGAAGCCTAAGAAGATATTCTTGCCTAGAGAAGTAACTAGCCTAAATACTCTCTTTAGCTCTAGTAGTATACTTAAAAAGATTACTTAGAATAACTATTACACTAGCCTTAATAGGTTTAATAATAACTTCTTTCTAAGTAAAACTACTTATACTAAGTAGCTTGTTTAGGTCTAGAGTCTTAATAATAAAGAACTAGTAATAGCAAAGTTAGAGGTTTAGGCGTAAGTTTATTACATTACTTTATTATATATCTATTACTAACTTAACTAGTCTACGTAATACTAGTACTATAGTACTTAAGACTAGAGAAGTTATTAATAATAAGAAGTAATTTATTACTACTAGAAAGAAGAATAAGTATAAAAAGGCTGTTAATAACTTAAAGAATAAATACAATTCTAAGAATAGTAATAAGTATAGCTTAGAGATTATTAATTCTAAGAATAATAGTTCTAGAGAGTCTAAGACTTTAGATAGAAAGAAGTCTAAGAGTAATAAGTCTAATAATAGTATAATAGAGAAATAGAGGGTTACTCTATTAGTAGTGTTCTTAGTGCTTACTTTAGCCTATAATACTAAATTATAATATAGAACCTAATATTAGTGCTTTACTAATTACCTCTAAAATAGTACTAACACTAAAAACTCTTTACCTAGACTACGCACTATAATACACTAATTTCTACACTATAGTTTTATATTATTACAAAGTATTAGAGCCTTTCTATTATTCTATCTAAAGATATCTATTATAATAATACTCTATTATACTAAAAAAAATTATTTCTTAAGCACTACTAGTTATTACAATTAGTTATTATAGCTATACCTACGTAACTATATAGATAATAATATAGATAACTTTCTAGACTCTATTAACTCTCTATTAGATTTTTTAGTAGAGTTAGTAGACTTAAAGTTTAATAGTAAGTGTTTTATAAAAGATAGAGATAAAGAAGCTATATAACTAGTAAAATATTCTACTTATCTTATTATAGATAAAGACACTTATAAAGCTATTATTATAGTATAGAAAAACTAGTAGAGTAAGATACTATATATAGTAGATCTTATAAACGCTAACTCTTATTAGAATAATTCTATACGTTTAAGTATAGTATAGACTTAAGTAGATAAAGTAGTAGAACACTAGAGTAGTAGACTATACGTCTACTATCTATAATATAGAAC